CCCCCCCCCAGGGCCTGGTTGCTGGGGGTGGGGAGGCCCAGGTTTGCTTACGGAGTCTCCACGGAGGCCTCGCTGAAGGGTTTGCCCAGAACTTATCTCAGGGCCGCATAGCTGCTCGCTTGGTTGTGAGGAGAGGAGGGGAAGGAACGAACTGGGATTCCAGGCTCCCTTATCTTCTTGTGGGTGGGGACCCCAATAGTGCCAAAGTACGCAGGGTGTACAGAAATACTCAGTACCCAAAACCCGGTGTCAACAGTAATGAAGCAGTTTCTAATAGGATTTTAATTAGCCCTGTGAGGAAAGTTTTCAAATTATGTAAGTAGCAATATTTGTGGTCATTTCAGGACTTAGCAGTTACCACTTAAGAAGCCTGCCTCGGCCACAGACCTGGCAAGAGGCAGAGCCAGGCTTGTGACTGGCAGGCCAGTGCATTTTCCTGAAGTGCTTCACACGGGTGCGAGGCCCAACACAAACAAGTAGAAACGCGGTGGCAGCTCAGCCACAAACCTTCCTGGCCATTTATCTCCCTGCCTGCATAGATATACTTACGATGTTTACAGAGTTCAGGATGCCTTTAAATTCAGAAGCAAATTAAAATTGTACTTTTGCATTCTTTGTACAAGTGCTTTCTGCATTACCCTGGACTCACTTGGGATTCTTATGCTGCTTGGGATCCTCACTCTCTCCCACTTTTCACTGTTACGAGTCAAAACATAGGGCCGGGTGGTTGATTGTCTTTTTAAGGATGTATGTCCAGGCTGTTCTGAAGATAGCTAAGTTGATTTTTAGTAAAGTTTTAAGTGTCAAGTTCAACCGTGCTACTTTTTCCCAAAAGATGTCCTGACTCCTTTTTATACCTGTCAACCACTGAAGTAATTAACTTTTTTAAGGCACAGGTGAGGAAGTAACCTGTTAATAATTTGTTCGGAGCAACTGTGACCTGACTTTTGGATGTGGACTTATACACATGAGATTAGTTGAAATAAGGCTCGATGAAATTTAGAATTTTTTGAGATTATTGTCCTTTTTTTATTAAGAGACTAAAATACACTTATTTAAAAATATTTGTAAAGAACACAAGAGAGTAAAGAACTTCTCCAATAAAAAAGCCTTTATAAACAAAAACAGAAAAAAAGAGCCTTTTAACACTATCAGCACTCTGTGTCATGTTGGAATTAGGGATGACCCAGGATAAGTTGAACTCGTGCCATCAAAAATTAAACTTCACTGCCCTGGCCAGTGTAGTGTGGCTCAGTGGTTAGAGCGTTGGCCCACGCACCCAAGGGTCTTGGGTTCCATTCCCGGTCAAGGGTACGTACCTACCTGGGTTACAGGTTTGATCCTGGCCCCGGTTGGGGCTCTTGCACATCGATGTTTCCCTCCCTCCCTCCCTCGCTCCCTCGCTCTCTCCTTCTCTCTAAAATTCAGTGGAAAAAATATCTTCAGGGGAGGGTTAACAAAAAAAAGATTAAACTTTATTCAATAGGATAATTTCAAATAATTGCTGTAATTTTAATTTTTCTGATACAGATGAAGAACTAGCACTGGATGACAGTTTTGACCAAGACCTAAAAAACTATCACAGACTCCACTGGGAAACAGAGTTCAAACCTGTGGCACAGCAGCTTCTAAACCGAATTCAGACCCGTCGTACCTTCCTGGAGCCCCTGCCTGTTCCTTCTTTCGAACATGATGCAAGTTAACACCAGAAATGGGAAGTCAGGTCACCTTCATTCTTAAGGAGTGGGAACAAACATGAACTTGTTTTTCTTTTCAGTATAAACAAATATTGAAAGTTTTCCAGGTACTGATGTTAGTGAGTAGTCTAAGTATTTTTTTTTTTTAATAAGCATTTCTTCTTGTTAGGTATTATGGGAAAATGAATATGCATGTACTTTCTGCTGTGAGAAATGTAAGATAAAAAAATATATGTGTGGTTTTTAATAAGTAAATGACTTTTTCTTCTATTCTCTAGCCAATAACTTAGTTCTAGTCTGAAAGTCCTGATCTAACAATCCTGGAATTTAAGTGCTTGTCAACCCAGTAGTTAACCTTGCAATGAAGGCTCTCTGATTTTGTATATAGAAAGAATGGTGGTCAATACTATTAGGAATACGTTGCTGCATAAGCATCTATACTGATTCTTATGTCAGCTAATAATAACTTTCTGGTTGGGCACCATTATTTTTGTGGTTCTCATATTAAGAGAAGCAGGAAAAGTTAGGCAAGACCACTTTGGGCCACCTATTCTTTATTAAATAAGTAAAATATATGAAAAAGGGAGTATTTTTACCTCTTTTCATTTGAAATAAAATTCACTAGACCAGACAATCCTTCCAATTGTAATTCTCTGTGACTAGGGAGGTGTTATAATGTACTAGAAAGTGTGTAGGCTTAGGTGTACGGTAGATCTCATTTGAATTCTAGCTCTCCCCTACTTGGATCTTGGACAAGTAACTTAATTTCTTGAGTTTCAACTATAAAATGGGAATAACACCTATTTTATTATAGGGGGTTTTGGGGAAAAAATTAAATGGGAAAACTGCCGAGAACAGTCTGGTGTGTAGTAGGTTCTCAATAAATTATAACATGATGGTAGTTTATTAGTTCGCCATTCTTTGTGGGGTAAGCTTGGCCTTTGAATAAGTAAAACCACCAAATAAATTGACATTACTGTTGTTATCTGATACCAGCCAAAATAAGATTTGGACATCAAAGTGGGTTTACTATTCTGCTTGGAGAAAAGCTGACTCATCTCTCACCCTACAAAATACCAAGATCAATGGGCAAGGGCAGGCATCACAGACTGGACAGGCTCTCAAAGCCTATCAAGAAAAACCTAAATTTCCAGGAACAAACACATTTTCCAAGGGCTCCTCCCTGATATAGGGCTCAGCAGAATTACTGGGACACTCACCTTATTACAGTCTGTAATTTGTAAGTAAATGATAATAGATTCATTCCGATAGTTGACATCATTTTAAACACTTTGCTGACTGGTCATGAGCATACAGACACATGTTTCTGTGTCTGAATGTTGCTGACCAGTCATGAGATAATTCTTGTCTGCATTTACATTAATCTAAGTAATTTTAAACACCTTGCTTATGATAGTCACTAGTCACACATACGGTAATAAAACTTTCAGAGTATTTAACGATAAAAAAAATATGCTTGGAAAACATGCTTATCCAACAAGTTTTATTTATCTACATATCTACCAATGGTGTATTATCAAAATTAATTTGAAATAGCTCAACCATTAGAATAAGAATCTTTTAGCTTTTAAATGAAGTTTAAAATATCACCAGTTTAACATCATATAAACTTAAATAATTGTAAATACAGAGGTGTTTGGAATTTAATCTTTCTTCTAGTGAGAAATAATTAAGTTTGGCATAAAAAAGTTCCCCAAACTTTCCCCCAAATACTTCAGATTTAAAAACTGAAATCCTGCAAAACACCTCAGCTTTAAAAAATGAAATCCTGGAAACGTCAACCAGAAATGTTTTCATGATTATTTAAGAAAAAAATTTCCTCTTGTGGGTTGAGGGTTTTGATAGCCCATAGACTATTCTATTTCACTATCCCTAATTATTTTGGAAACTATTAGTTTCAAAGATTACGGTAACATTAGAAATCCAGTGTGTTTAGTTTTGAGAAAACATTCTGAGTAACAGGAAGCACCTGTTAAATGGGCGGCACTGGAACATCAACTTTGCATCACATACACTCCCTTATTAGTTAGTATAAGCACATGTTTTTACTCATTAAATTTTTCATTCTGACTTGTGATTTCTAAGTGATTATAAACTTCAGTGGACTAAGATGATGCATTCAGTTGATCTTGTTTCGTGATCACAGTCTCTCTTACAAGTTTTGTATTTTCAAGACAAAGCAGCAGAAGAATGAGTAAAACTTGAACTGTATCCAGCGCAGGCTTACTTGTTGGGTTTACCTGCACTGCTACGTGATCAGCAGCTGACAGAAGAGGGCAAAGGCATGGTGCAAATTCAGCGGGTAGGACCATGTGTATATTACTGTAAGCTAACTAGAAACGAACTTATACATTTCTTTAAATATACAATATATTGAATATAAATATATCAATTTCTAGTCAGTTAGTGCCTCCCCACTCCTACCCCCACCCCCATCCACACATTATAAATTTGTGGGCAATAGACTGAACTCAATAGATGTTTTAATGAGTAACAGAGTTATTACAACAGCTTTGATTAAATTTAGAGCTATTTCTAGTTGTCATTTTTTGCTATATAGTCACTCCCTAATAAGTCCTTGTTTCTAATAATTTTTAGTAATTCTATTTGAACTCTAAAACATCCCAGTTCAAAAGGGAGAAGGCATGGGGGCCATGTTAGCCACTTCCAAGATAAAAATAGTCTTACCTAAGATTCTGAAGGACCACTTTTCTCTGTATCCTTCAAAATTAATGAGTTTTCCATTTAATAGCAGTCTCTCATCTGATATAGCATTATTTAAGTGTGAATCTACATGGCTAATGAAAGTAAATATAAACTTAGAATTGTTACTGATTGTGAAGTCATGACTTGAGATTGAGACAACAAACTAAAATTGGAGAAAAGTTATTCTTTATTGAAAAATACCAATAATACTGACAGACTTCAAAAGCAATTCAGGCTTCCAGAATACAAAGTACTCAATACATTTTTTCAAACCTGTTTGCATTTTAAACGAAGTTAGCATTTTTGTAAATCATATTTTGACTAAAATATTTTCCAGCTTTATTATTTAAGGAGTGTACAACCTTTAAAGTGGGGTCCATGAGGCAGGTGGGAACAGAATGCACCTGGGACTGTGCAGGAGTCTACAGCAACATTTCACACAACTTACGCGCTGAAAACAAAAATGCTGCACAGGATAGCTGCCCTCCAGTGTCAGAGAATCTTGGGAAACAGCATATCAAGAGATAGCCAGCTTTTCTTGTAATTTATACATTTTCATTTAAGATTGCTTTTTGAAGAAAATCTTTAAGAATGACACTGTAAAATTCAATGTCATCCAATAACTCTGAATTTAAAAAACAATAATGAAAGAATTGAACTGTTACCATCAAAACAGTCTTTGCTGAGCTATGAGTAATCTATGCTTTTTTAGATGCAACAAAATTAACACATATGCAAATTTAATTTGAAAACCACACAAATTATGTCTGTAGGCTCAGATAGTAGCAGTGTTCACTTTTATTACTAATAGCTTAACTGGAACAGCCACTCTATTCATTCCACCAGCAGGAATAGCAGCACCAAGGTCTAAAATTCTTTATGTAAAAAAGCTTATGTAACTATCCAAGTCCCATTCCTTGCACGCTCCAATTCTTGTTATTTAACATAAAAGCAACAGGATTTGGAGTTACTATTTGCTGTAATAAAACAGTTATACAGTATCTTGTACTTCAAAAAGCAAAATACTGTGAATGGCAACCCTTCTTCACAGCTCTACAAACCTGAAGCTGCCAAGCATTCACTGCTTGTGCCAACAGTGGTATTTCCACAGTAAAATAGCAGAAACTAAAGGAATCATGGCACAATATATTTCTGAATTCTTTTATCTACCATTGGTCCTGGGGCTGAGAACCTTCCCCTCGTAGACTAGATCTGCTGATTATTCCATTGTCTTTAGTGGAGGAAAGGCATCAGGTCATATAGCGGGTGATGGCTCTCAGAGCGTAAAGGAGTTCTGCTTGCATCCTAGCTTCTATAAGAAGCAGATTAACATGAACCTGCATATAAAACACAACATCATTTAAGGTAGGGTTATAATCATTCACAATCACTTTTTCAGTGCATCTAATAAACAAACACCGAAAATCAAGTACATTTTCTGTGTGCCAGTGAATAACTTAGAAGTCTTGGGCTTATTGAATACCAATTTCTCAAAGGAAAAGCTATCTGATGTTCTTTTTGGATAGAGGTTTTGTGCTTATATTTATGCCTGATCACATCTCTCCTTGGAGGTTTGTTGTATTTCAGAAAATCTAGACAGTGCTTTATTAGAATACCAGTTTCCCCTGCCAAATCATCATTCAATAATTTCTACACAGATGAATCAAAGACCAGACCAGATACTTCTATCTAAACATTTTTTTAAAAAGCTCTTGTAAAACAGTCTTCTCCTAAGTGGTGAGAGCCATGTCAACATTTAAAGAAGAGCCAGGCCACCTGTCTTCCCTGTCTTTATTCTTTTACTCTAGCACCATAATGAGGTTCTCTCACAAAGGGTATCTGAGGCGGCTGTGCTGCAATGTTCTCTGGGTTGGCAGAGGTGATGGGAAGGTTTGAGATGCTTTAGATTAGGTGAAGGATAAGAATCCCTGCTAAGTTACAGAGTAAACAAACCACAACAGGTGCATACCTTCTCGGAGTGCTTGAACTGCCTCCAGAAGCTATCGTACATTCTTTTGGTAACCTTTTCAGGAGTGCAAACAATAGTTTTGATATAAACTTTAAAGCTACGATCCAATAGCTGGTTAATTTCACCATAGTCATAGTCATCATATCTATTAAAAGACAAAGTAAAAATTGTATTTTCAATGTATGAGCTGTTTTCTTCTCACAAAAAGTACAGACACCACTAGGAAATGCTATATCTTTTCCACTCTGTGTAGGCAGCTGTCCCCCAATAACAACTTTACCATGGTTAAATGGAGGTGATTACTGAGTAAAAGGGACAAGAGTCAGAAGTTAGGGAGATGAACAGGAAATCTGCCCATGCCCACAACAGTTTGGATTTACTGCCATGAACAAGCAACCACACTGAGGCACAGATTCTAGAAGCAGAGTTTATGACTATTGCTGAGAATAAGAAGTTAATCAGACAGTAGTGTCTATTAGTGGTACTACTACATGAGCTAGAACTTGTAATCTACCCGTGTAAATAAAAATAATTAGAATTCTTTTTCTCATGTTTCCCAAAGTTTCTGGGGTCATATGAGTAAAAAAAAAAGGGGGGGGGAGTTTCCCAGAGAAAAAGATGGTCTACAGATGGCCTTCAGAGTGTCTACTATACTTGGGAGACACTGTTCTGCTTTAAGCGAAAATGGCCAGAGGCACCAGTGTCTGCTCCACTCTACTGCGTGATGATTTCTAGAACCCAAGGACTGAAATCCCCTATGTGGTTTTCAGTGGAAAAGGGAGTAGTTCTTGCAAAGCTGGTCCTAACCATTCAGGAGGCTAAAGTCAATATCCTGGCCACTGATAGATAGCAAGAGAAAGCCTGACTTTATAGCTAAAATAATCAGAAAGCACCGTGGCATGGAGTTTGTGTGCATGTGTTAGAAAGTGGTATATATTGGCTGCACTTCCTATATAACATAATTATGTGGCTGAATACCTAACAGTCAGGACATGAAAGTTCTGCACTTTGATGAAGTATCATGGGAGTATGGAGTAGCTTCAGAAGGAGTTACAGCCAGAGGGGTACTATACAGGTACTAAGTTCCAGGAAGGTAGACATATACATGTGTTAGGGAACAGATGATACAAAGAGAAAAGATACCAAAGATGATCAGTGACAAACTTTCCCTCTTCTCCTCTATGTTCTAGGACCAACTGGCTTGCCTCTCTCCCCGCTTCCCTGAAGCATCTTGTCAATGTTCCTAAC